GGTATATATTAGAGGCAAAAGCTACTGCATATCTCAAAGCACCTAACACAACAATATAATGAACCAAAAACTACTTAAAGGGACACTCCACCCATTTGCATTAAGTTTTTCATTGTCATGTCATACTATTGAATGGTCATGATGCAACACTCTCTCATTTTCCTCTGAGGCGAGAGAAATCTGCTATGTACCTTTTTCACTTCCTAGTACAATGACACATTTTGTGCGATTTCGAAACACATTTTCGGGCAATCTCATCACGGAGACTCGCTAGTAGCCTATTCTTGTTGTTTAACTACTGCGCTCTTACCTCCTAGGGCAGCGAAGGAAGTGCATTCTGGGAGTTGTTATCTTTTATCCACACAAGCCAAAAATACATTTTCTGGCTAGAAATACATTTTAGGAACTGTAACTGTAAGGAACTGTAAGGTGGTGCTCGATGACTGACGTTTGCACCAGATTTAGCTTAAGCTAGTTTCCATCTGCAGTCCCCGAGCAGGTGAATTAAAACACAAAATATACAACATAAAATGTTATAATAAGTCACTCAAATACAACTATCAATTAATTCATTCATCCATTCTCTATTTCAACCATCAATAAAACCTCAATAAAAGTCATATTTACATACATAATTATCTATGCTGGCACAACTGGTTGTTCAATAGCACACAGTAGTAAATAGTAGTAAACAGTCTGTTGTTTTCAGTAGAAGCTCAAAGGCCCCTCCCTCCCGAGTCCCAAATCTCATAATCTATTATCTAGCACAGTTGTATAGTTGGTAGAATGAAAAATACTTCAATTCAAGCATTTCAATCCAATACAGTCGGCAGCTCAATTCCGCGGGAAAATGTGAACTTGGCAACCCTGGTGATCAAAGTACTTCTCCCCAGTCAACTCATGCATGTTTTACTTGTGAAATTGATCAGGTTTTCAAATTCTCTATAAATGAATGAAAAGTTATTTTAAATAGAATGGGAAAGGGGACAGAGTTAACTCTAATGCAAAAGAGGATGTGTGCCAATCAAGCTTTTTAAATTCCCAACATGTTTTGATTTATGCAAATCATTTTCTTCACTTGTCCAGAGTCTGACACTCTTTTGCCCACTAGTGGTTGAACATAAAATGTCAAGCGTTGCTGGAAAATACATCATCAGAAGTTCAGCTTGACCTTGATGAAGTTTTTTTTTTCATCTCATTTACTTTCATTTAAGAGAGAAGACCGAGGGAGAGGGGGAGTCTGTTGTGGGTGATTTACAGGGGTTAGACGTGTAACAGGATCACAGCAGCTGTTGCATATGAACCTTGAAAGATTCCTTGCTGGTGAACACACACACCTCTCTCAGAAGAGAGAGACTTTCCATGCCATAAGCACAATAAATCAGCAATATAACTGAATGTGGCAACAACTGAGTTATTTAAGAGAATCTATATGTGAAAACTCACATTTAAACAAGTGTTTTATTGGTCAAACACAAAGAAGCCCAAAACATTACATGTTGAGCTGAACATTTAGACTCTGGAAATCGTCCAAAACTCTCATTCATAAATTAAGGCACTGAGCAAATCATATTAAATAATGTATTGTTTTAGGTTTATTTATATGAGCCATTCAATACAATATTTAACAAGAGTAACCATTTGATGAGTGTCAAACATGGGATGCACTAAAATAATAAACAGGAAGTCAAAGAAATATTCCATTCACACACATCTGCTTATAAGGATATTCAGTAAAATACCAAAGCATATTTGCTCTGATGTTATGTTATTTTATCTCAAACTGTGTAAGGATGACAACTTAGTGCTCTGAAAATCTTGACATACATTAAACGGTGAAACTAAAGTGCGTATCAGGAATCTGTGCGACTGCTTCCATCGCAGGTGTCCTGTTCACAGTATAACACTTCATTTAAATTTAAGGCTGTTTCAACATGTACATCCAGCACAACCGTCCATTTACAGTATAACATCAAACCATGTTTAGTTGTTTGAAATTTGCTCAATGCTTTATATAGTTCTAGATCAGTCTCTCAGGCCTGGTATAAAGGCACGGCTCGTTTGATGTTCTGTCTGCAGATGGGACAGTTGGGTTGTGGCAAGGCCTGATAGCAGCGGAAACAGCAGCACACGTGACCGCAGTCCAGCAGCACGCAGCTTCGTGGATTACTCAGGCATATCACGCACGCATTCTCTGGAATATCCATGCCGTTCTCCTCCTCCCCTCTTTCTCCCATCAGTTCAAACTCCCTCCTCATGTTCTCTTGCTCCCAGCGCAGCTTCAGTTGCTGGTAGTACCTGCGTCCCGCCCACATCAGCACGGCTGCACCCGCCAATGCGCAAACACACGCCAGCACCCTCCACACCTCCGCCTGCCCTTCCTGCTCCCGCAGCAGAGTCTCAAAGTCCGAAGTGCACAGGAAGTACTCGGAGCCGTCGGTGGGTGGGCGGATTTTAGGGAGGCGGTCCGTGTCCAGGATGAGCTCACCCACTGCGGTTAGGGATGCGCCCACCTTCAGCATCTCCTCTGTTTCAAGTTGACCTTTGGGCTTCTCTCCGCTCAGGTACTGACCTATCAGGTCCGTGAAGCCATAACTGGCCTGGTGGAACTTCTCGTGTGTGATTTCCATGTCGGGACCCGTGGCCTCCAGGGGGCAGAGCACCCGCACAAACGCCTTGTTGACCCCCAGCAGGTTAAAAGGCACAGCATTCACGCGTTGGTGAATCAAACGCTCGCTGTCTGTCCTGAAGGATGAGAATTGTGTTTGAGGATTGCCATGTTAGACTGATGTACATAACACTCGTTCATAAATTTGGGGTCCGTAAGATTTTTAAAATGTTTTGAAAGAAGTCTCTTATGCTCAAAAAATACAGTGAGACTGTAATATTGTGAAATATTATTAGAATTTAAAATAACTGTTTTCTATTTTAATATGTAATAAAATGTCATTTATACCTGTGATGCAAAGTAGAATTTTTAGCAGCATTAATCGAGTCTTCAGTGTCGCGTGATCCTTCAGAAATCATTCTAATATGCTGATTCGGTGCTCAAAAAACATTTTTTAGAAGAAATATTGAACACAGTTGTGATGCCAAAAAATTTTTTTTTCAAGATTCTATGATCTTTAAATAATTTGTTAACATTATAAATGCCTTTACTGTACTTTTTAGGCATCCTTGCTCTATAAAATGATTAATTTGTTTTAATAAAAGATACATTTAAAATCTTGCTGACCCCAAATCATTGATCGATAATGTATATTTATAATAGCCAGAGTAGGTTTTACCAGGTGCGTGCTAAACTGTTCCACACAAGCTTGTGTTCTCGGAGGAGCAGTTTCTGGATGACACCAACAGAGCCTTCTTGAAACTGACTCCTTAATGGTTCCCCAACAGGCTGAACTGTACCTACAGAGAAAGAAAGAAAGACAGACAGAAAGCAAATCAGTGGAATTGAAAGAGACAGAGAGACAAAGTTATCTTCTTCACATCAGCTGAGACATATAGTCAAAAATAAAGGTTACCCTCGATGACCACATACTGCAGACATTTCCCCGGTGAGGCATTTAAAAGATCTGTTAACTTCTCATCCAATGGCAGAACTGGAGCTTCCTAACATCCAAAACAAATGAGTTTATTGTTTCTTTTACGTCCTGTAGCAGACACTTTTAATCCAAATCACTAATTGCATATACTATCTGGCTTCAATACAAATTAAGTTTTGTGTACTGTGATCTATCTATCTATCTATCTATCTATCTATCTATCTATCTATCTATCTATCTATCTATCTATCTATCTATCTATCGCTGTCTTAATTATCATTATTGCATTGCTACTCAGTACTCACGTTAAGCTTGTGCACAGTTTTGCTTTTCTTTCTGTAGATGTAATAAAACAGACCAGAGAGAGCTACACTTGAACCCAAACACACAATTTCCAGTGTCCGGATGGGGAAATCCTCCATCTTCCACCTCGCCCTCTTCCTCTTCTCTAGACTACTAAAAACACAGTTAAATAATAGTGAACAGATGTAAGCATCAAGATGAATACAAATATTAATGCTGATTTGATTATGGATTCATTTTCTGGTGGTTGTACGGAATTGACAGGGTGTTCTGGCTGTTATTGATGAATGGATATAAAAAAAGCAATAATGAGAGAGAGAGACTTCAGAGAGCCTTTTTATGTGTGTTTACATTAGAATTGATAGTTGCGCCTGTTAAACATGCCAACAATGTAAGTCCATGGGAATTTGGGGTGTTTTTTAAATCATCGATTTAAAGAAAACCGCCAAAAACACTACACTCCCACAATAACAAGAGTTAACGTTATATAACATAACGATAACAAAATTTCTCCAAACATGGTGAATCATCTGTCCGCTGTCAAAATGAAATGTGTGACCCATAAATGACCTTTAAAGATTTTAATCAAATGCTTTGACCACTATAACATATGTACATGCTCATAAACAAATATTAAAGTTCTGTCTGAAACAACAGAAATGAACATCACGTGAATAAGGAGCAGAACATCACCTTTATCACTCACACGATCCTCCTGAAGTCATTACCGGAAACGATGTTGTTTGGATCACGTGGCAACGTCAACGTGGGTGGCTGTGAAATTTGCCTGACTGAATCTGGTGACACAACTTTACGCAGCCAAACCCTTACAGTCTATGAGCCAAAAAGATTTGAACATATACTTGATGTGATCATTTTAAGTATGTTGTTTATTGGGGTTGTCCTCTTTAGCTTTCCTTTAATAGAAATTGCATTGGAATGGCATTGAACTATTTTAAGCGAACGAAAAAAAGTTTACATAATTATATTTGTATACATATAAATGCATATGTTGCTAATAAATAAATAAAAACAACATATATAGCTTTTTTCCCAATGGCATTTTTATTTTATTTTATTTATTTTTTTTATTTTTTTGCCTTAGTGACTTTTAATTTGCAAATCAGTATTTCCGATTTCGATACGCGTTTGTTGAAATCGCTGACGCTGACTTCACCAAGGCGGCCAACATGGCAGCAGGGAAGAAAAAATCCTCTACTCTTCCATCAAGATTTCAAAAAACACTTTCCTCCATATGGCAGGACAAACACATGGTGTTGTTCAAAGCAGAGTACACGTTCTTGATCACGTCCGTACTTTGGCTTCTGGAAATTGTGGTTAACATATGGGTGATCCAAAGAGTTACATGTAAGTGTATTAGAAATCAATCACTGACATGGTCTTTGAATATTTATAATAGTCAACTCATTATATTAATTTATATTTATAATAGTCAATTCATTCATGGAACTGCAGACTAAAGACACAGAACATCATTCTATTCTGCATAATCTCTAACTTACATATTCAAATAGGGCACTGTTCTAGTGCATGCTGTTAATGCAATTGTTTATTAATTTATTTTTGAACAGTTACATTTACGTTCCTCTATAAAATGTGTTAAATTAGTGTTGTTTATTTCGGAAGGGAGCACGTGAAGAGACGAGAGAGCTCGAGTCACGCGCACGATAAATTCAAATAGACAGAACTGCACTCTGAAAAGTTATGCCGCTTAAAAAAAGACAGGTGCTATTCCTCTGTCTGATGATTTATATGTTATGTGTGTAGATACAGAGATTGATTGGAAGGCATACATGGACGAGGTGGAGGGCGTTATTAACGGCACATATGACTACACACAGCTGAAGGGCGACACGGGACCGCTGGTGTAAGTGTCAACATAACTATGTTATATATACGTATATATACCATGAGAGTTGGAAAAATAATTATTTAAAAGCAAAGTTATGTTATTTATATATGTAATACATGCCTATTTTCAATCCCCTGCCAAAATCTTCTGCCCTTGTTTATTTATTACTAGACTCATTTTGTTTCCCGCTACAGATAACAGTATATTAATATGTTGAATTCCATAAATTCAGAATGGAAATAAAGGGATTGTTCACCCAAAAATGACAATTTTGTCATCTACTTACCCTGAAGTTGTTCCAAACCTGTATGACTATCCTTCTTTTGCTGAAAAAAGATATTTTATAGAGTGTCAGTAATCAAACAATATATGTACCCCATTGACTTCCATAGTAATTTATTTCCATATTATTGAGTCAATTGGGTATATCAGTTGTTTGGTTATTGACATTCTTCAAAATATCTTCTTTGTGTTCAGCAGAAGAATGAAATTCATCAGGTTTGGAACAACTTCAGAGTGAGTAGATGACAGAATTCACATTTTTGGATGAACGATTTCTTTAATGAGGCTAGAATACACTACACAACTTTTAAAATCTGAACAGATTTTAAAACACTTGGCATGAAACTTTCTGATTTTACTGTAAATGTTTACAGAAAAAAAAACTGGGCATCATACTCTAAACAACTGAGAATTACACACTACAAGGCTTTCAAGTAGATCAAATCTCATGCACAAACATGTGGAAATATGCGGAGATGCATGGGAAATGAAAACAATGTGTTTCTAAAATCACTTCAAAATATTAAACATGTTTGTTATCTTTTGACAGTGCCCATCATATATTAGATGATTTTCTGCCAAATCTGGCAAGTCTGACTGACCAAAATCTGCAAGACTGGCTTTGACCTTTTTCAGGAACAATCATTGACTCCTCCAGAAAAAAAAGCATATCTGAGCAAAAGTCATTTAGTGTATTCCAGCTTTTAGATGTCCAGTAGTCTACTTGTTCTTGTACACCTCTGGGAATGTCATATTAAATGGAAACCTGGCCACTGATAATTTGCTGGATTGTATGTATTTGTGTTTCAGGTATCCTGCTGGTTTTGTGTATATATTCACAGGGCTGTATTATCTTACTGATCATGGACAGAACATTCGTTTGGGTCAGTACGTGTTCGCTGTGTTCTACCTCATCACTCTCCTTCTTGTGTTCCGCATTTACCATCACACCAAAAAAGTAAGAAATAGTAATGCGTAATTCTGTTCAGACATCTTTTTTCTTTTTTTTTTTTTACCCAAGAATAGCCAGGATATTTTCACAATGAATTTAAAGTGTACATGCTACCATTCAAATGTTTGGTGTCAGTAATATTTCTAGTTTGAATGAAAAGAATGCAACACCATAAGGCATAACTAAAAATATTTTGCTAGACTTGAACCTCTGAATTCCAGCAAAAGCAACTAATTACTACTTAACATGATAAAAACCTTACTAATATTTCAATACTTTGCTTATTTATTATGGTATTTAGATCTTTACAGAAGATTGCTTTCATTGTTCTGATTTTGTCTGTATAGTAATAGGGATCCTATGCTTTTTTTTTTTTTTAGCTTAACTGAACAGCTTCAGAGTTATTGAAATGGGTTATATGACTTCTTTCAAGTTGAATGGTGGACTGAGAGACGATGTACATTTGTTATGGTGAAATCACAAAACTTAATGCTCAAAAATAATGCACGTGTCCCTGATAATACAACCACTAATTAACAATCGGTTTTGATGAAGAAAATAAACTATACTACTAGTGCGGATTAGAACCCAGAGGCTTGGTAAAAGTTCTGCCACTGGACCATTAAAGTACATGGGGATAATAGTCGGATCTCTGTATTTGATCACGTGAAAATTCTCATCACTAACAACATATATTAGGTCTCATTAAACAACAAATTCAACACAATGTACTATTGTATACTATGTAACACGTCACGCTTTGCGCGAGTGCTATTTACGACAGTAACGTTAAATACAAGTACTCCACAGCAACTCTAGAGGTCGCTGTTTGACAACTGAATTCCTGCATGGTGTCCCTTTAAGTGCTTGTACGTTTATTCTTCTCTAGGTTCCTCCCTACGTGTTCTTCTTCATCTGCTGTGCTTCGTATCGGATTCACTCCATCTTCATCTTGCGTCTCTTTAATGATCCGGTGGCCATGATGCTCTTATTTGGAGCCATCAATCTCTTCCTGGACGGCCACTGGACTCTAGGATGTGCCCTTTACAGGCAAGTAGAAACAACTTCTTCATTCTATATAGTGTTTTTTTTTTAAGTTGTCAGTCAATGGCAGCATTTTTGGTAATTTTCACAAAATTTGCATGGCCCCCAGCATATTTTGTTGTATGTAACTGAACTTGCAGTGTATCACAGGGAAGAACAGAGCTTCTGCTTTTTAACAACACTAAAAAAGCTGAGAAAATCACATTTTTGTCAAAGACTGTGTCTGGGTCGGAGTCAGAACGATGATCAAAAGATAGATGGAGTAGATCACTTCCATCAACAAATCTTCACAGTCCTAAATCTCGTCCTGGATCGACATTTCATTCTGTACCATTAGGCAGTTTTGATTTATATGCTGTTTAATGTTTGATGAACGTGAACATTTGCATAAGCGATGCTTCTATGACTTGTTTCTGCTGCTTTTGCACTTGTGTTTTGATCCGGAGAGTCTGTACTTGTTCAGATGATGTGTAATAGCGCCCCCTACCATATAACAGTGAAAACATGTATTGCAGGAATTTTCTGTCAATAGCGGTGAAAGATTTAGAATGCTACATGTCATGCGTGTAACATGGCTGTTTGCATTTGTAAAAGGTCTGCAAAGTTAAAAAAAAATCGAAGTGCTCAATAAATGGAGTTATTTTCTCCTGAAAGAAAGAACCGATTCTGAACTGCCTGAAAGGAGTTGTCTGTAATTCCAGCCTTACTTCCTACACAAACTTACGCGGGTTTGTAACAAAATTGCATAATGCCAGGATCAGGATGTTCCTCATTGGCTGCCTGCAAGCAACATCTACTTTGAGCCGCCCTCACTTTAACATTAACTCATGTTATCCACTACTGCTGCTATTACAATATTTTGATGCCTGATCAAAACTACAGAAGAATAATATAATGTTTAATACATGAACATTCAGCGATGTGTGTGCATTTAAAGTAAATATTTCTCTGTTGTATGGACAGTTTAGCTGTGTCTGTGAAGATGAACGTTCTGCTCTTCGCTCCTGGTCTCCTCTTCCTTCTCTTGAGTGAGTTCGGTCTATGGAAAACTTTACCCAAGCTCACTCTCTGTGCTGTCATTCAGGTTAGACACACATAAGGAAACACATTCACTTATTTATTACATGAATCAAATGTCTTTTTGCTGTCTCACACCGACTTTTCATGTACCATTCTTTTTCTCCCTTTCTAACAGCTGTTACTGGGTCTGCCGTTCCTCTTAGTGAACCCTCTCGGGTATGTTAACCGGGCCTTTGACCTGGGCAGGCAGTTTCTGTTTAAGTGGACCGTGAACTGGCGATTTCTTCCCGAGGATGTGTTTTTGAGTCGATACTTCCACCTAGTGCTGCTCTTGGCTCACATTACCACATTGCTTCTGTTCGCACTGAAGAGATGGAAGAGGTACAAAAAACAAGGTCTTACTTTACATTAGGTGGATAGTTCACCCAAAAAATGACAATTCTGTCAACATTTACTCGGCCTCGAGCTGTCCCAAACCTTTATGAATTTCTTTATTCTGCTGAACACAAAAGAAAATATTTTGAAGATTGTTAACCAAACCTATTGACTTCAAGTATTTCTCCCCTCATGATTTGTTGAACAAAATCATTATTAGAAGTCTAAGGTCAATATTAAGTCTTTTTAGTAAACGAAATATGCTACAGGTCTGGGAATATGGTTTTAATGAGCTGACTGCATCAATTAAAAAATGTGTGTTCATTACAGGTCTGGAAACAGTATTTGGTCTATTCTAAAAGATCCATCTGAGAGAAAAGAGACTGCACACAAGCTCGATGCTGATCATATCCTTCATATATATGACTGATTTGTTTAACATAGTTTGAATATCCCAGGTATTCCTGAAACTTGAATAATTAGTCCTTAACCCAGATCTTACAGACAGTTCTGGTTTTGTTCACCTCTAACTTCATCGGCATGTGCTTCAGTAGATCTCTGCATTATCAGTTTTATGTCTGGTACTTCCATACGCTCCCTTACCTACTGTGGAGTGGAGGAGTCAAGAAGCTTCCCCACCTTCTCCGGTAAAGCACAGACATGTTCATATGTGATATTTTTTCCTTATAGAACTGTTTAGTTGTTTCTTCTTGTGTTTGTATACACATTATGACCTATCACAGGTGAAGCAATTATTGTTGATCATCGCCTAACAAGGCCACATATCATTGTCTGGGTAAATGAAATGTTAAGCAAACACTCAGTTCTTGTAATCAACGTGTTGGATGCAGGAGAAGTGTGCAGGAATAAATATCTGAGTGACTTTGAACAGGGCCAAATTGTTATGTCGTCAAGGCTTTTAGTGATAGGCTGAGAATCCCTGGGTCTGGCCACTCACGTGGATGTAAATTTGTACATGTACCACCTACCTAAGTATTGTTGCAGATTTTTTTATTATTAGTTCATAATACCTAATGTTAATGTGTAGAAACTAATTGAAAATATTACTGTTATCTAACTTTGTCACACACAACTCTGCACCAACTCATCCCTATATATTTTACTCTCTTTTAGTGTGTTGATTTTGGGTCTGATAGAGCTGTCCTGGAACACGTATCCGTCCACCAACTACAGCTCTCTATCGCTGCATGTTTGCCATCTCATCATCCTGCTCTGTTTGTGGCTCAACCCATCCCCGGCTCTTCCATCTCAGAGGTCAGAGAACAAGGCTAAGCACCACTAAACCCTGGTGTGACCGGGGCACTCGCTGTACCGGAGTGACAAACGGGTCCCTGTGCCCTGAGTATGATCAAATCATATCAAGGGGTTTTGTTAATAGAGGCAGTGTGATGTTAATATATGGGGGTACAGAGAGTTTACAATGCTTCTCAGGATTCTTAAAGACTATTGGAATGCTCTGTCTGGGATATCGGAGCGAGAAATGTGAATGTTGTGTGGAGCTTTATTGGAAGGAAATGTAGAAAAAATAATATATATATATATATATATATATATATATATAATGTGTATGCAGCGAGCACCACTGTACCAACACTGTTGACCTTTGAAACCTCAATGGTCTCTTGTTGTCACCTTTGGATGCATTATAATTAGGTACATAGGCCTAAAGATGTTATATATGCTATATATAACAAAATATATCTGCATTTCAACTGTGACGTTAAATTCATTAAATTGATTATGAATCAAATATGAATTCAATTAAAGTGAATTCATAATTGTACCTTTATTCAAAGCTGTTCAGGGATTTGTCTCCATGTAAAGTTTAACCAAAAAGAAAATAGAAAAGAAAAGAAAAGTGTTATTTACTCACCCTCATGTAGTTCTAGAACCTGTATTGATTTTCTTCTGTGGGGGAAAAACACTTTTGGCCCATTGCATTACATTTTATGAACAAAAAAAAATATTTTGTGTTCTGCAGAAGAAATAAAGGGTGAGGGTGAGTAAATAATGACAAAAGTGTAATTTTTGATGAAATATCCCTTTAACTGTGAGCTCAACAGGATCATATCCACTAGTTACATGTATAGGGCACAAAGGAACAGCATAGATCTGCTTTTCCATTTCTTTTTAGTTTAAGTCAACCATAAACCTCCAGTATCGTCTTGAGCCTTTTTCATTATTTTGTGTTTTTTTTTCTTCTTTTCTGGAGTGAACAGTTAGAAGGAGTGCTGAAATGCTTAACATTTTGGGTGTGATTTACATTTTTCTGTGATAAAGAGTGAATGAGTGTTCTTATTAGCATCTGTTTGCAGTTGTTTTTATTTTATTTATTTTTATTAGTTTATTTTTTATTCTTTGCATGAAATACATTTGCTTAATCCAAATTGGTTTCGCTAATCACAATGCAGCTGTAGTCCGTAGGGCTGTCAAACGATTAATCGCGATTAATCGCATCCAAAATAAAAGTTTGTGTTTACATAATATATGTGTGTGCACTGTGTATAATTATTTTATATATATAAATACACACACATGCTTGTATATATTTAAGAAAAAAAAAGATTATTTATATAAAATATTTATATATAATATAAATTATATATAAATCTATATACAGAATATACATGAAAATATTTCTTAAATATATACATGCAGTTGTGTGTATTTATATATATAAAATAATTATACACAGTGCACACACATATATTATGTAAACACAAACTTTTATTTTGGATGCGATTAACATCCCTTTGGGATTGACAGCCCTAGTAGTCCGTGATATTATTCCATTTCCAAGGCTAATGACAGACGGGTATAAAAGTCTGGGCTAAAACCAGGTTGAAGGTACAGTGAATGAATACAGCCCTTACTGTTTGAAAATATACTTGTATCTTAACCTGATGAAGCATCATTTGGTATCATTCAGAGCATTTTATTGTATAGATTTGTAAGTGATACAAAATAAAAAGTGACAATTTCATAATGTTCATTATATCTCTGATATACTACTATAGTTATCATCCCTTTTTTGCACATGAAAATATATAGCCCCATGGTTTGCACATTGTTTATGTGGTGTTACCAGAAAACTAACTTTGAAGGAACAAATGAAATGCCTTCATCCAAAATACTTAACAAACGAGGCAAAATAAGCAAACAAATGATCCTAAGAAAATGGAATTTAACAATAATTTGCAAAACTTGACTGAGAGAGACTGACTGAAATTGTACAGTTTAGTCTAAAACTTGATTTGAATTTTTTTATTTATTATTATTATTATTTTTATCAGATTCAAGCAGCTGTACACAACCGTTCAAAATTTGGGGTAGTTAAGATTTTTAAAAAAAATTTGGGTAGAAAGCCTCTTATGTTCACCTAGACTGCATTTATTTGATCAAAAATACAGTAATATTGTGAAATATTAGAAATTGAAATAACTTCTTATATATATATATATATATATATATATATATATATATATATATATATATATATATATATATATGTAATATATTCTGGTGATTAGTAAAGCTGAATTTTCGGCATTATTACATGCTGAATTGGTGCTCAAGAAACAGTTATCAGTACTGAAAATATTTTTGCTGCTTCATATTTTTTTGTAAACGGATGCATTTTTCAGGATTGATGGATTGAAAGCAAAAGAACAGCATTGATTTGAAATTGAAACATTTTGTACCATTGTAAATGTCTTTACCGTCACTTTTGATCAATTTGATGCATCCTTGCTGATTAAAAGTATTACATTTAAAAAAAAAAATCTTGCTGGCTTCTAAATGGTAGTGTAAATTAAAGAGTGCTTGCTGTTTATGTTGGCGAGTTGTTTTATAAAGCATCCAAAACTAGTCAATTTGCTATTGCTAGCATAAAGTGCTGTCAGACCTGCAGTTGATAACATTGAACTACATTCTACTGCATAATTATACTGACGCCCATTGATTAAGGCAAAGCTTGTACAGTATTGCAGTCTGGTCGTGAGAGAAACCACAATTCAGCTTTATCTCCGTTCCTCTTTAAAGGACATCTTAGATAAATTCTATTCTGCTATAAAGTTGAATTGGGAGTCAAGCCAACAGGTTTAAATTCAACTAAAGACCCAAGAACTTCATCTTTGAGGTCAGCTCCTCACATGTTATTGGGGTTATAGCAGAGCACGTTCAGTTTAATATTTTCGTCCCAGTGACGCAACAGCAAAAAAAGCTGCCTGGCCGCTGCCCTCAACCCTACCATGTCAACGCCCTCTGGCAGCGATTGACACTTCAGCCAGAAATCTGCCTTGGCAGCCACCAATTCCCACTCCACAAAGAACCCAGCGCAGCGGTGCTCCAGCCAGGCCAGAGCAACCGCAGTGGCCCAACTGGAGCTTTCTACATCCATCTGCTCCAGTTTCTCTCCGTGAGGATCTGCAGGATCCAACGGAGGACCTTCACACGTGTCAGCCTCAGAGCCCCGCCCACTATCAACCTGTGGGACTCCACCCATCAATTTTGGAGAACCCTCCTCCAAAGGGTTGGGCCATGGCTCTTGCATGTGTCTCGCTGAAGCGGCGGTGGGTGGTGAGGTACAATGGAAAGGAGGGCTTAGACTGCTGCGGTGGCTCAGGTATGGGGACGCTCTTTTTAGGCGGTCCAGAGGGATCTGGATGCACTCGGAGTACGATTCGGACAGCAGAAACGCACCTGACGCCAACTGAAGGCGTACCTGTGGGGACACGAGAAGTGAAGTGGGTGACACTGGCTTTACATTGAGTAGTTCTGTAAATCAGTTTGCAGTGCTGGGTAGTAACTGATTACATGCAATCTGGATTACAAACATAATTCAAATATGTACTTGTAATTAGATTATATTACGTTTTAAAATGTGCATAATCAGATTACAGTTACTTTTTTATGATTACATGATTATATATTCACATAATGGCAGTAAATTGTTAATTTACTGACTCTGCCTAATTATTACATTTATTTTCTAAAAAATCCTGTTATGTCATACTGTTTAGCTTTGACTATATTCACAATATAGAAAAATCCTGGAATGTTTTCATCAAAAACCTTCATTTCTTTTCGACTGAAGAAAGAAAGAAGACATGGACATCTTGGATAACATGGGGGTGAGTAAATTATCAGCATTTTTTTTTTTTAAACATGAACTACTCCTTTAATCTGTTAAACGATGCCAATGTACTGTACGGCTATAAAATACTACACCGTCATCATATCCTGTGACCTTCACTAATTGATTCTGGAAGTCTGGACAAAAATATTTAAAACCTGCCAGACTTTGGACATGTAATTCATCACTTGTTATCTTCATAAATGTTTGTTCATATAATGCAGGTATTCTCAAACTTTTTTGTCAGCCAAACCCCTTAGACCTAAAATATTTACTTGGTCACTTAAAGTTAACATTCAAATAAGTTAACAACACATTTGCATGTTTGCATTTCACTGATCTTGGTTTTTGGTCACACTGCCATGCAGGTAAACTAATAAAATATTAATATATTTACTATTCAAGTGATTTGTTTTGATTTGTTTAATTGTACATTTAATTATTCAAAATATGATTTAATATTTGATTTAATATGATATGATTTAATTACTATTAATCAAAATGGTACACAATAATCCCATTCAAATCTGTTATAAACGAGTCAGGTCAAATGTAATCAGAAAGTAGTCTGATTAGATTACTGAAAACAGTAATCTAACAGATTCTGTTACTAACTAAAATGTTCATAATGTAATTTGTAATCCTTAGTGGTTTACAATTTGTGAGTAATCTGCCCAGCACACAGTATACAATTACACCAACCAATGGCAAGTAGTCAGGCTTGTCTCTCTCTATGTGTCTGTCGGTCTCTGCAGAGAAACAGTGAGGTTTGAGAGGAGCTTGTTTTCCATTATTGCCCTTTAGTCTTCCCAGATTGAACCTGGAGAGAATATAATGAAATTCAGTGTGATAGCATAATAAAGTACAGTATAAATCATTACAATTTGTGATACTTATGCAGACTTGGAGCCGAAGAAGCTCTCCACAGAGCGCTGAGAGCGAGACGAAACCGCTGATGGACTGACGCTCCCTCCTGTGCCTGAAAGAAATTTCACCAAATTTTCACTAATGTGACCGCACCTTAGTGCATCCTTATTTCTCATACTGTATACTCACTGCTATCCCAGGATGTCATGCTACAAGGAGATGCAGGTGTGTCGTCTCTGTCTGGGTCCAAGAAAACAGAATAGAAATTCAGAGTTGCACTGCACAGAACGGAAAGACATTGTTTTTTATAGCCTCATGGTATTTCAGATTATTTTCCTTTTTCGGGTATCTGCATTGGTGTTTATGGAAGTGCTTGTTGAGCCTTGGGTCTGTTTATGGACTGTTTATTGCATATTGCGAAAAAACACATGGTAATATTGAAATAATTGTTTTCTATATGAATTTTAAAAGGGAATTTATTCCTGTGCTGGGCTGGCAAAGCTGAATTTCCAGCATCATTCCTCTAGTCTTCAGGATTCTTTTCAAATTAATTTGAAATGGAAATCTTTTCCACTATGTCCTTGCTGAATCAGTGTTAATTTCTGAACACAAACTTTGGTTTGTGGCATACTTATATATATTAATGTTGTTGTACATATATAATTGATAAGATACCTGTTGAGGTGTGTGTATTTTCTGTCTCTTCACTGCCTCTGCTGGAGGGGTGGCGTCCAAATCCCACCGAGCACAACTTTTGTCTTCTGCTACCGGAATGAGAACTGAGTCTAGTAACAAACCGCACACCTGACACAGACACACAAACACAGAGGAATTTCATTTCATCCATCAATAAAATATGTATCAGTTTTGTGTCACAGTCTTTATGTGAGATTGTGTGTGGTGTACATGTGCTGTTTGTGTGTACCTGTGTGTCGTGCATCTGTGCCCTGAGCTTGATTTCTTGCATTGGTGTCTGTAGTGGTGAAGCTTGTGTACATGCAGACAATTCCACAGCTTTTGCTGGTCTGGATCGCTTTCATTCTGTACCGCTTGGAAGGACCTACGTGCACACCCGTACCAGAATACACATTCAAACATGAGAAAATGTTGATGGAACAGTCCATATTTTGATTTAAACCCTAAACACTTTGTTTTTTTATTCCTATCAGACCTCTTTCAGCTTCAATATCGGTTTCTTTCTCCGCCATGTTTTCAAAGTCTGTGATGACGGATCGTGCGGTCAGCTGGTGGATGATCTCATCCCAGGCCCCGGTGCTGGGTGGCAGGGTTGCTGAGTTCTCAGTGTCCCACAAAAGGGACAGATCCACATGGACCTCCCAGGATACGGCCCGTCCTCCCAGCTTGCCGTGGATCACTGAGCGACACTGGGCCCCTGAAGCCTGGAACTCACCTGGAGGAGCGGCTGAAAACAGGCATTCAGGATCAGTGAAGGTGTCCCAGTCTAGTGGGGAAGCAGGGAACAGGAGGCCATCTGGATAGACAGGGATAGGGGAAAAGAAACAGATTAATTAATATTTGGACAATGTCTGATATGCATCTATGTATTTATGTTAATGACTGCAGACTGTTTTCCCTCACTGGAGTCAGTCAGACTGGGGTGGGATAAACCTCCTCGTGAAGTGCTTTGGGTGTCTGTGTCACTCTCCTCAAGTCGTCCCCCCAAGGCCTGCTCAAATGAGATCTTCTCTAGTGCCCTCCTCAGGCGGTGCATGTCCAGGTCACCCTGCGGAGATGAGAAACTTCGGCCAGCCAGAGCGGAGCGAGCTAGCGCCCTCTGCCTGAGACGAGACTCATCACGGTCTAAGAGCTTGCCAGCCTACAGAAACACAGTTAGGATTATACTTTTGATTTTTTTTAAATTTCTACTTGATGTTAAAAGTACTGTTCACTTTATAATGAAAATTCTGAAACCTTCAAGTTGTTTAAAACCTGTATGAATTTCTTCTGCTGAACACAAAGGAAGATATTTTGAAGAATGTCGGCAACCAAATCAAGTTGATGTACCCCATTGACTTCCATAGAATTTTTTTCATACAGTTGATGGGGTATATCAACTGTCTGGTTACTGACATTGTTCAAAATATCTTCCTTTGTGTTCAGCAGAATAAATTAATACAGGTTTTAAACAACTTGAGGGTATGTAAAAATGATGACAGAATTTTCATTTTAAATTTAAAGTGAACTGTTCCTTTAAAGGGATACTCCAATTTTGGGGGAAATAGGCTCATTTTACAACTCCCCCAGAGTTAAACAGTTGAGTTTCACCGTTTTCGAATCCCTTCAGACGATTTTCTGATATTTAGAAGAATATCATTAACCAGACAGTTTCTGGTCTCATTGACTTCCATAGTAGGAAATATGATATGGAAGTCAATGAGACCAGAAACTGTCTGGTTACTGATATTCTTCTAAATATCAGAAAATCGTCTGAAGGGATTCGAAAACGGTGAAACTTCAACTCTGAAGGAGTTGTAAAATGAGCCTATTTCCCCAAAAAGTGGAGTATCCCTTTAAGGCTGTCTTGTCTTGTTTAGATTAGTGGTATTGCACATGACGTTAAACTCTCTCTACTCAATGTGAAGTGAATTCTTAAATACAAATCATAATGCTGATGTCACCTTCCCTGATGCAGAATCTGCGCCGCCTGAAGAGGTGGCATTCTGAATCCACGGAGACTCCCAGCGGGAAAGGCCTCGACCCTGTGTTGGCTCCATTCTCTCCAAGCCATGTGGCAGAGAACCCATGCCCAGCATAGAGCTCTCTGTTTGGGGAGAAACAGACGAGAAGGCCCTCTCGCTGCTCAGAGAACAGTGTGTCAACACGTACTGATCTTGAACATACGAAGCCTGTTGAATACGCCAGAGCACATCGCTGGTGCTGTAGTCAGTGTCACCACCTGTAGATAACGCACACGCAAGGTATGTTTGGAATGGCTGCTACCGCTTTTTTAAGGGGACAGTCCACCTAAAAATTATCCATGCAGTTATAGTTCACTTACACGCATTGTGTTCAAAACCTGTGTGACTTTCTTCCTTCTGTGGTACACAAAAGAAGATATTTTGAATAATGTTGGTAACCAAACAGTTTCGGTTCCTATTGACCTCCATTGTATGGACATACAATATAATGAAAATCAATGGGAACCAAAACTGTTTGGTTAACAACATTATTCATAATATCTTTTAGTGTGTTTCATAGAGAGAAAAAACTGCATAAATGTGTATTTTTTGGGTGGACTATCCCTTTGAGCATGCATTATGTCAAAGGCTATAGAATTACACAAGATGCGTCACTCGTATTGTTTTGAATGGGGAAAGGTGCAATGCTCAATATGGCGGAATAACTCCCACCTTCTAAATAAGAGCCAATCGCCGATTTGTAAAGTCATCACATCACTGCAGCTGCCGCCAGACGCTCATTAGCTTGATCCTGCCAAAATGCCGTTTTCTGTCATGATTCAAGCATTTGGAAACAAAATTTATAATTTGATTGGTTATTTTAAATATGAAATTGAATCGTAAGCTTAGCGAACAGTTTTGGAGAATTCGATTTTTCCCCATTCAAAAAGATGGTGGCTGCACTTGCACGCCTGAGAGGTGTTTCAAAGATGGCCGCCGAATGAATTGACTTGTCTTAAAAGGACTTTGATTATGTACACTGTGCTCTATTACTACTATGTCAGTGGTTCTCAACCAGGCTTAAGAGGAGTTAAAATAAGACAAAACAAGCATTACATTGAGCTAAACCCATTAAAAAAATCAAGACATTTATTATTATTGGGTTATTTTTATAATGAATATACTTTTAATGCCAAGTTCTAAAATATTTTCTCAGGTAGAAATTCTAAGTGAGGGGGGGCCTTCAGATATTGTTGTGGACAAAGTGGGGGCCTGAAGTCAAAAAGGTTGAGAACCAATGTAATAAATACAACCTGAGCACATTATGTGCAGTCCCACAATGCAATGCACTTAATTCTTAAACAGATCCCATCGTCTTACCCGGGCTGACAGCAATATCGGTGGCATGTGCGCAGGAGAATTCCGACGAGATTTCTCGAGAAATTTCCCGCAGTGCTTCTTCAAAGTCTCCCTCCCCCCCGCTTTCTTTTACAGCATCTCTCTCGCGCTCCTCCGGGGGAACCAGAGGCTGAAGGAGCTCGGAAGTGGAGGGTGAGAGCTCGAAAACAGACCCCTCTGAACCACGTGGGCGGCTTCCGTATGAACGAGGCTTCACCTGCTTATGAGAAATTGTGCACACACTAAGTCTTTATTAGTTTATATTGACATTTCTTCTTTTGACATATGTTGAACATAAGAAAAACTAAGTGTGGAAATGTACAGTCTCTCACCTCACATTTCTGGGCCCTGAATCCAGATACGTCGTAGAGAGTGCAGTAGCCAATCAGGCAGTTGCCAGGATAGAGCGGAGGGATTTCATTTGGTGAGAGAAGCGCCTCGACATTGTCCGGCACATACCAGTCAATCCGTACATCCGTCAACACAGGTTCCAGAGCTTTCTTTAGACATTTAATCAACTGTAGAGAATAATTGTGACATTAGTAACTACACAACAGCAGCTATGCTGATGTCCACAGAAAGTTTCAAGGTACTACCATGTTTTTGGACATGGTAACGCTGTACTTTCATGGTATATTGATGTTCCATGATATTTTTCAATTGGAGTTCAATGTAAATACCATGGCACAAGAATTTCAGTAGCATGGTACCAAAGTTTTACCTAGTAATGCCATCACTTCTCATAGTATGTTTTTGTATTTTAGATGCGCGTCATTCACAAAATTCTACACATCTACACAATATTAGTTTATTAAATATTTTGAATAGATTAAAATTTTCAGCTACCAGTAAGTTTTTTTTTTGTAACCAAAATTAAGACATAAATAATAGTATTGAAATGTTACTGTTGTTCTGTAAAATAAAATATAATTTGTTATTGCTACTGCTAAATATGTTTTTTATAGTACAATAATATTATTGCAAAGGCAATATACTGATATATTGAATATATTTATTGATTTGTTTAATTTTTATTTTTTTGAATAATAATAAATATAATTGTATATATAGTATTATAGTATTATTAGTATTATTGCAATAGTCATATACTGATGGATTATTTAAATAGTATTGTGAATAATAATAATTATTATATAGTCTTATAGAATGGGAGAAAACGGGTTTCTATTTTTTTTTTGTCCTCAACTGATCATATGCCTGACAATATAAGATATTGTACTTGTATAATAACAAACAATAACAAATCTTTTTTTTAAACTGCCATAAAAGCACATTTTAAATCATACTGTCCTCAGCATGTCATAAAAGCAGAGTTGATAATAGCGGTTCTGTCTCTGCTCCCTGTAGGGGGCGCTGTGTACTCTCGCACCTTTGGCTGAAGCCTCTCTTCCTCACTGAGAAACTCCATACTGCCTCCCGTCACCTTGGCAATGCCCTGCAGTAGCCTTCGACAGGCCTGGGGACCAAGACCTAGGCCGAAACACCTATGACACCAAACATAAGTTATAACATAGGTAGGTAAATATACATTAACTATTTATATAATGTACACCTTCTCTCACTCTCAATACCTCATAGCTCATTGTCAAATCCATGTATTTACAAAAAAATTATAGTTCAGTCACCAACCACTTTATCAGGTAAACCCGTTCAACTGCTCACTAACACAAATATCCTAATCAGCCAATCACATGGGAGCAACTTAATGCATTTAGTCATGTGCTGTGTTTGAAATCGCCCAGCTATACCCTCATTCATTATTCCACTAATATAATCCACTTGAGTGAATGAAAACGAGTGAGTGAATTCGGACACTGCTTTTGCATGGTTTGTGCCTGCAGCAAACTGGCAGCTTTAGTAGTAAAGAAATATATGTATGTATGTGATTCGATTTCTCATGACTCAAGCCATATATGTTTGTCTGCAATGGATTGCCAGTCTGCTATGAGGGATTGAGTGTGAGAGCAAATAGAATATGTTTAGTATTCCCCTGACAATAATCTGGACCATTTAGCTAATTAAATGTCTGTGTGGAAACAGAATCCAGACGACACACACACACAACACAAGCTGTTTTGAATTCAGGTCTGCTCCGCCTGGGTCGAAGGCTTTTAAATGTCTTGACTGAGTATCAATAATGAGTCTGTGTTCCAGTACGGTGAAATCTATATCTGAGCGTGTGTGTCTGTGTTTGTTGAAGAGCATTTCTCTCTAAACATTAGTCAGTGATTTATGAGAGGGGAAACTATTTGTGCTGTATAATGTGAACCACGGTACAATTTAACGATTTCTCTCAGCTTCAGCTTTACAATGTCATGTGGGATATTCATTTTAAGGTGAAATCATAACAGATACTGGAGTCAGTGTGACAAAAGTGTTTGCCAGTGTGAAATGTGTTGAGCATCTTTTGCTGTAGTAAAAGGTGTTTAGCTTTTATGTGTGGATGCTGATATTTTTTTTTTAGAAAACTTTAAGGTTAGTTTTGAAAGTATTTATTTACTGATGTAAAATGTGTAAAATGTACAGATTACAAGCAATATTATTAATTAAATTGAACAAATTAGAATTGAGTAATAATTAATCAAATTATTGCTTAAAAGTTAACCATTAAAAATGAGCAATGTTTACACCAAAACAAAAATATCTGAATAACAGACAGACATCAAAGATTAATTAAGAACTCTTTATTTTTATATTGCCAACACTGAAGGCACCTAATGTTAACAGGCAGAATCACTGAAGGAGAAAACCGTAATTTAAAAACAAACCTAAAACAAACACCGATCACCATAATGGTGACTTAAATGTATGTTTTACTCACTTTAAATGGTTAACTTAACTTAAAATAATTATTTTGATTAATTATTACTCAATTCTAATTTGTTAAATTGAATTAATATAATAATAATGCTTGTAATCTGTTGTAATTGTAAATCCACAATTTTCTTTTACAGTGTAGTGTTAAAAGGGCAATATTAAAATTTTAAAAGGTATTTTCTGTATCCCTTTTATACTGACTATATATAGGGTGAACGTGATTTTCACCAAGTACAATATGTTCTTTGATACAATATGTTCTTTGTTGATCCTGGAACAACATCCCAGTCAACCAATATGATTTGAGGGACATGTTTACAGTTTACTGTTGTCGTGGAAATTTTACACTGTATATTAAACTAACCATGTTTCTAACATCTAACCTTATTTAACATCTAAACTTTTTAACAGAATGTACTGTACGAAACCAATGGAAAACCTGTGATGTTGAGTGTGATGTGTGTGTGTGTGTGTATAAATAACATAGTTTGGGAAATTGGAATTGGAATTGGAATTTGGGAAAAACTAGACAGTCTAGGTTTGAAACCTTGTGATTATGAAGTAACGAAGAACCAATCAAATTGTAGGTGAATTATGTAATGTATGATGTCATTTTCCCATACCTTCCTATTATACAAAAACTGTTGTATCTGTGTTTATTGGTGGGATTCTCAATGGGATTTGTCTGAGATACTCCGGCCATGCTTATTGCTTGTTTTTGGGAGACTTTCAGAGAACTGCTCGCGAACTCCCGGCCGTAATAGAGAGCATTTAAAAGACAATTACTCAAGTCTGTCTGTCATTTAAGCTGCACAGCAAGAGAACAAGTTAGATTTATCAACTCTGGACGCTGTAGTCGACTGGAGACTCGCTGATGTGTGAACATAGCTAATGTCAAATGTATATAGACGCGCTAGCGTCTAAGTTATAGCCTACAAGTATAGTTAGTCTTAGGGAGCCAAATCTAAAATGGTTAGTTTTGAGAAGAAAATCCAAAACACTGTATGTCAAGTTTAGGCTTACAACCAAGGCTAGGTGCTTCTACATCAGTGTTATAACCATCGATTCTAGGGTTAAGTTATGAGTAGGTTTAGGGATACATTTTCGGGCAAGAATGTTGTTCAAGGGTCAACAAAATAATATATGAATTATTTGACAAAATATAGACAGTTAAGCCCCAAACAATAGCATGTGAGGGGATTATCTGATACGGATCATGAGTTTGATCTGGCTTTTCAGATTTTACCAGTAATATTTTTTTTTGCTGAAGCAAAGTGTTTCTGTTTAGATACATATTGGTATTATTTTACAGTACAGTATATGCGTTACCTGGCATAGTGTTTTCGATGCCAATTTAAACCAACATTAGTTTTACCTGACGTTACATGCGTTCCTCCTGACCAGTTCTAACACACGGCCTACATTGCTGAAGGCTCCGTCCGTGATGATGAAGAGCTGTCGTGGGCAGCTGCGGTGGACGGGCTGCTGATAAACCCAGGACAGTGTCGCCCACAGGTTAGCACCACCTTGGTCTGTGCGCATCTTCTGGATGTACTCCAATGCCCGAGTCACTGTACTCTGAGAAACGAGAGAGGCAGAGAATGGCAGAATTCCCTTTAGCATTAAACAGTGACGTTTTAAAGAAATATTCCAGGTTAAACATAGCCTTATCATAAAAGAGTTAATCAACAATGTCTACCCACCACACAGCCTTAGTAAAATAATAATGTTAAAAAAGTAAATATGGTTCATAGGGCTTAAGTTGACATCCTCTAGAGTAGCCTCTCTTGATGTAGATGTGGAGCAGTGGTGCATAATGGAGCAAACAAGTTTGTTTTTTATCATTGCGTGCTGTATAAATGTATGACAGTGCCATATGGCTCTCGCTGTTTTAAAGCACTTTGTCCTGCCAGACCCTGGACCTGCTTGAACCTGATATTGCAGCGTCATGGAAACCAGAAGTAGCGACCTGGACAGAGATGGTTATCAATTGGCCCCAGGTCCCTCACAGGTAAACATCAACCATTTCACACACATCCAGAAACCCTATGTAGCCTCCATCTGAGTTTCTCTTGAAATAAACACTATGATTTGTTTGGCTAATACAGCTAGGATGACAACTTTCCACTCCCATTGTCCCCTTAATGGGATTGCAGTCTCATGATAAATTGCCTGTTTAGTAAATCTGACCCCTTAATATTCAGTAAAGGCCCGTTCACACAAATAATGATAACTTTAAAGATATCTATAGATAACTATATTAGCATTCACACCAGCGGATGATATTATTCTCTTTATTCAAAGTGCGTCTTTGTCTGCTGCTTTAAATGCATAAGCTAGTTACAGCAGGATGGATTCTGATTGGCCGTCAATGTTTTTATCGTTCATCAGCTGGATAAAATCATTCTGAAAGTGATTCCAATGATATCGTTTCTCTGATACTGCATTATCGATTTAACTATATTGGCACTATTAGAAGAATGAATTGAGCTGGAAGATGACACTACACTCTTCTGTAGAGCTGCTTTATAGCTGAATCGACCATTTTATAAGTAATTAATTTTGCAACACTGTCATTGAACTGAATTGAATCAACATTGAACTGACTCATATTGGTCAACATCACAAATGTGATGAAACCCGTCGTGGACGAGCGGGAATTTTTTTTAACATGCTAGTTTTTCTGTCGGAACTTCATGAAAAGCCGCATTGTCGGTTGTCGTCCACTATGACACTATATGATATATAACTCTAAGCAATTTTAGCATCCTGGTGGCCATTGTTGTTTACAAAATCTCCACCACACCATACGTCAAACGGATCTCGCCAAAATCGGGGTGATATCGTGTAGTCTGACTCTGAACCCGCCATTAGAGTTATTGAACTGCTCTGAACCAACACTGAAATGTCTTGAGTTGAGTAATATAACTATTGTATTTGTATAGCTGCTTTACAGCAGAATTAGAATTTGTCCTATATTTGGTGAAGTTTGCATCATTTATTGGTTGTTTATTACTGTGAAGCTGATTTGAAACAATCTGTAGTGTATATAGTGCTATAAAAGTAAAGGTGACTTGACTCACATCTGTGTAGGGCTTGCTGGAGCTGAAAAGAGGCCTGACAGGAGAGCAAATGCCAGCGATGTTCAGCATGGTGCGGCTCGGCAGACTCTTGATGGCAACTAACATCGCCTCCTGTCAAAAATATGAAAGCGCAAGGAACATTTATGGTTATTTTCAACTTGCATAATACTGCATATTCAGAGTGGAATCCTTTCAGGGCCATATTTAATAAGCTTAATTAGCTTTTTCGAGCATCTCCTGGTGAGAGCAAATATTTTAAGAACCAATGATCTATGCTTTATAACAATGACAACATTTTGAAAAAAAAGTATGTACTGAATCAATTAAGAAAAAAAAAAAAGCGCATGTTACTGGACTGTTCACACGCAGCTGCTCATACAGAAGGTCGCAAGAACCTTGATCTTGTTGATGTTGTGCTGTGTCATTGTGCTGCTGTTTTCAATGAGGAAGATGAGTTCCCTGCTGGCCTGCTGCAGTTCTGTTGGTTCTGACAGCAGATCTGGGGAGAAGTTAAGCATCAGGACCGGGTTCAAGAGCAGATCCTTATGATAGCGTCTCCGCACGAATTCCAGCTGGGGGAGGCACATACACACATGTAGGAACAAATATATTATACTGTTCTTAAATACAATCACGATGAAGTCAGCAATGCAAGTGTTTAACACCAGTAATCATACCCTCTTCTCAGACTCTGCCTCCTTTCGGGCACAGCGAATGAAATCACGACGAGCACGGATCTGCTGCTCATATTCATTAAATGTGAGCCGGCCCCTCTCTAGGATGACCAATGGGCTGTGAGGCTCTGCAGGCAACAGTGGGAAGTGACTTGCAGGTAATTACATGGATGGAATTGTGGTCATGGTCGTATTTTGTTCAACTGTAGCTGATCAAAAAGTTTTTCTTGTCAGCCTTCTGCTAAATTGCAAACTGCAAATTCAAACTTTAGATTGACTATTTATATTTCAAAAGACTTCAATGTAAAAAAAAAAAACAGCATCACAGAAATAAATTCTTGTGATAAATTTTACAACATTATTTTTTACTGTATTTTTATCAAATAAATGTAGCCTCGGTGAACTTCTTTCAAAACCTGACCCCAAACTTTTAAATGGTATAGTATTAAAAGCGATATTGTATGACTTCTCATCAGCCACTGAATCGTTTACTCAAAAAAGTCAGTCATGCTTTGGGGTCCAAGAAGGGTAAGATTTGGCACAAAACTGTATAAACAAGTTTCTGATTTACAGTATTTAGCTGACCATTTTTCACTCATAGAAAAAAATGTAAGGGAGAAATTGCAATGCTCAATTTGGCAACTGAAGAAAGTTAAAAATCTATTGTGGTAACACTTCCTTTTACAGTCCAGTTACCCATGTAAATACTATGTACTTATTTTAGTAACTACAATTACTGGGTAATAACTATAGTACTAACCCTGAACCTACCCCTAAAACTACCCCTGTTCCATGTACTTACCTTATATTAGCCAGTACTTTCTAGGTAAGTACACTGTAAGTATATTGTAAGTACTGTACTGTAAAAGGAAGCATTACCCTTGTCTTACTAGTCATCAGCTGTATTTTTTGCTATAAAATGTACATTTTCATTAGCTGTAAAAAAATAAATACATTTTGTAGCATAATTTAAGCTGGAGAAGCTAAATGTATGATGAAATCAGAATTTGTTCCTGCTTTGAAATATCAATATGTTACTGAAAAGCAATCTAAATAGTTTTGGAGATTAATGTCTGTCTGCATTCAAGGCTATATGACATGCTTAACTTGAAAATAACTGTGGAGGTGTTACCATAATGACCTTCGAGGTTAAGATTTTAACATTTTAGGCTTAGCTCTCACCGCTAAGGTGAAGTATTATTTCCAGATGTCGGTCGCATGGATGCTCCTCGGCCAGTGTGATGTAGGTTGCATAGGCAGACTGTGCACTGGGGTCAGCATCTGCACGCAGGGCATGGGTGGGGCTTTCCAGACCTGCAAATGCAGAGACGGCATAAAAAGAGGTTACAGAGCCTGTTCACATGACATTTCAGCACTGATTTGATTAGTTGCTGCTGTTAAAGAATATTATTGGTGGGAATCTTTGACATCTAAGCCTCAGGGAACTAAAGCTATATAATAAAATTGATCCTGAATCTCTTGAATTACATTTCAGTCAGACATTTGATATAAATCTTGATATCCACAGTTGTAATCAAAATCATTCAACCCCCTTTGCAAATCTGGTTGGCAACATTTACAGTCATTCAGCTGTTTGCAATGAACAAATCGAAATATAGCTTAACACAACAAATGTCAAGTGTTTTCCCAAAATTCAACTGAAAATGCAACTTTTAATGACTTCTGCAGTCTCAAAATTATTCAGTCCCCTAAATAAAATCCCTCACAACAACACAAATCTGCAAAACAGGAGTAGTCTCAATCACACCTGATACAACTAATCAAGGGCTTCATTAGTTGCACCAGGTGTGCTTGAGCTAGAACACATGAAATATCCACAACTGTTGTGCGTTTCCCGAAAGCATCATTAGCCAACTATGGCCGCAAGTTCCGTCGTTATCAGCATAGTTCAACGAGTCTGTGTTTCCCGAAACCATCGACGAACATTCGCAAACTTCATCGCATAGTTGTGTGGTTTGAACGACAGCTCTCAACCTGTGGTTAGAGGCATCGTTTCTATGTTGCATGACATTTGGACGTAATAAATCCTTATCTTGAGCAAAATAAGCAAGCTGACATTTAGGACAACCGGTGCCTTTTATTCAGCATACATACAAATGTAATTTACGTCTTTTAGATTGTCAAAAGATTTAAAGTAACTGTTTGAAGAGAAAAAAAGAATACTTTAGCAAAGTAATGTTACAAAAGATTTCAAATAAATTTTGTTTCATTTGAACTTTCCATTCATCAGAGTATTCTGAAAAAATAAATAAATCATGGTATCCACTAAAATATTAAGCAGCACAGCGGTTCTCAGCGTTGGTAAAATAATAATAATAATACTAATAAATGTTTTCTCAACCAAATCATAATATTTGAATGATTTCTGAAGGATCATGTGACACTGAAGACTGGAGTAGTGATGCTGAAAATTCAGCTTTGCATCACAGGAACAAATTACATTGAAAATATATAAAAATAGGAAACGGTTATTTTAATATTTTCACAACATTTCACAATATTGCTGTTTTACTATATAATTGATCAAATAATTGCAGCCTTGGTGAGCATTAGAGACTTCTTTTAGAAACAGAAACAAATCTTATTGACCCCAAACTTTTGAAATGATATACAGTATACTGTATATACAGTATATTTCATGATATTTCTAAGGTAAATGTAAAATTAAAACTATATTACAAGGTACATATCTAAAAAATTATAATAATCTGATACTTGTACAAACAAATATTCAAATATTATAGCTATTAACATGGTAAATTTATATTGTTTGTATTATATATAATATATTTATATAATAAAAAATGTATATTACCATGGTTCAGTTTAAAAAAAAAAAATTCTTTGGAGTGTCCAGCTCAATGTCCATTAAAGTCAAGACGGCTGAAACAGAGTGGCCACTTTCCTCTGGAGCAGAACAGTGTCACTACTGTGATTTAGGACTCTGTATCACCCTGCCTCAATCTCTCTCCTCTGTTTAGTGGCCTGGAGCCCGAGCCAAACACTCTCTCGCTCTGCACACACCCTCACACACACACACACACACTTTGGTTCCTTCTGGCAGGCTCACTGATGTCTATCATAATCACTGATGGGCATGCCAAGTTTTACGCTAACTGGATTATTTCAGAACACAAACTGGACCTGCATGAATGTACAATGCTCTTAAAAGGGGGCTATTGTCCTTCAGGTGAGAGACAAGCCCACTTTTTGTCTCCTCCTCCAGATATCATAATTGTAGAACTTTTACATTTAAGCTCTTGCTGTAGTGACTTATGTTTTGTAGATTGGACGGAAAGATATAAATGTTACCGGCTAGCAGACAGGCTCCTCGAACCAGCAGCTGGAAGCTGAGCTGATAAGGCGAGAGGTTGGTGGCAGAGCTGGTGAGCAGAGCATGTGTGCACTGCTGCCCGACTCCCAGCATCCTCTCCTGCTTTCCAGACACATTGCCAAAGCACGTAGTCGGGCTGAAGGAGAGACGTTAAATAGGATTCTTGGGAGGTCAAACTCACAATTTTGTTATTCAGGTGATGTAAATCAATAAGCAAAAAGTAAAGGTGTTTTATACCCTTACAATGCATTGATAATAATAGAATAATAATAAAACATGTTTATTGAGTACAAGATCACCATATTTGAATGATTTCTGAAGGGACTGGAGACTGGAGTAATGATGCTGAAATTTCAGCTTTGCCATCACAGGATTAAAACTACATTAAACTACATTTAAAATACATAAAAATAGAAAACAGTTATTTTAGATTGTGATAATAATTTCCACAATATCTCTGTTTGTATTGTATTTTAATCAAATGAATGCAGCTTCTTTCAAAAACATTTTTAGTGACCCCAAACTTTTGAATAGGGTATGTTTTATGAATGTGAATATACAGTGTCCTTAAAATGTCATGGAAATGGACTATGTAAGCTATATATTGACGCTAGTGATTAGCCTACAGTTTATAAAGTTATAATTATGGATATTTTTCTCACAAAAATGCATTGCTTCGCTTATTAGAGCTGTATGGATTACTTTTATAATGGATGAATGTGCTTTTTTGGGCTTAAAAAATTAAGGTACCATTCACTTTCATTAATGCCCAGAAGAGCCAGGATATTTTTTTTAATTTAACTCTGATTGTGTTTAGCTAAAAGAAGAGAGTATTTTTGGGTGAACTAACCCATTAACGTACCCTCTCATGTGAATAAAAGCCTAAATTAAATATTTTCATAATATAAAGTGATTGTATCTCTTCAGAAAATTTGGACTAAACTGCTCAAGTCATATGGATTAGTTTTACGGTTTCAATGTGAACTTTTTGATGATAAAGTGGTAGTTGCGTAGACTGTCAATGAGGGGACTAAGATCTCTCAGATTTCATTAATAAGATCTTCATTTATGTTTCAAAGATGAACGAAAGTCTTACAGATTTGGAACAACATGAGGGTGAGTAATTAATGACAGTTTTCATATTTGGGTTAACTAACTAACCCTTTAAATGTGGATATACCTTTTAGGACCACTGCAATTATTAATAGTAGTAACAATAGAGAAGAATTAAAGAAGTTAACTCTACCTGTTCTCCTCTGATTTCCCCCCATTTTCACTTTTTCCTGATTGAATTCGTGTTCTGACTATAGGTGTGAGCACTGAGGGATAGACCAGGCGGATTGCACCATTTTCAAGTGTGGGAAGTTCAAGGGTGGTACTGATGACAACAGACACAATTTCTAGCGGTCCAATCAGTCCTGTGCTCACAATAAAAGTGCTCCTCTCCAGATCCTCATCCAGCAACAGATGACCTGAAATGAAAAAATAAGTGCAACAATCGCTCAAAGACCTGAAAAATAATGCTGTTGGCATGTCAGGGTTTAATCTAAAATGTTTCAAAACACAAAATAATAATGTTCAATATTGCATTTTTTTGTACAGAAAGCCCCAAATTGAAATTTGTATCTAAGGACCATCCAAGTGCAGGCACAGAGCCAACAGAGCTCTAAGCAATAATGAATGCTGCCCTCACACTTCAGACTGTACAAGTACAAAGCAGTATAAGAGAGAACAAAGATTTATGAAAACACCAAACACACTTCTGTAATGTGTGCTTGTGTGTGTATATTTTAATATGTTGTGTGTAGTGTGACAATCGAAAGAAAATACTGCTTTTTTCTTTATCTGGAATCAGTGTTTTAAAAGAACAACATGCAAGTCCAAATTTCTTCCTCACCTGAAAATCCTAGAGAGATGATTATTATTGCAATTATTTTATCGTAAAACAATGCTCCGATATGGAAGTTGGAATCCTAATGACATACAGTTTGTCAAGATTAAATAAGAATTTCATGTTAACAGCTTGCAGTGAATGTAAACAACAATGTGTGGGTTAAAGACTTCATTACACCTTGATAAAGTTTTAATTATTGTTATAATTCTACGGTAACTCCACACCACAGTTATAACAGTAATGACACTATATCATTGGAATCTTTTTTTCAGAATCAGAATGATTTTTTCCAGATGATGAAGGATAAAAACACTGACAGCCTATCAGAATCTACCAGGCGTTAAAAAGCTCAAATATTTAAAGCAGCAGAAGGCATGCTTACAATAAATAAAACATTATCGCCAGTCGGTGTGAACGCTGATGTAGTTGTTGATAGTTATATTTATAGTTATCGTACGTGGTGTGAACTAGCTTTAAAACGCTCACCATTGGAGCACTGCATCTCCAGACCGGTTCCTCCACAGCATCCCCAGTCTTTGCTGTGACCACACTGTGTGTGCAGCGCTGATCCTGGGCAACAGTCCAAACAGCAGTCCGCTCGGCTCTGGAGCTCCACACTGACCAGCCTGCCAGACACCACTGCCTCAAAACTCACCACGACCTCCTTCTCCCCCAGAGGATACACAAACACACCTGAGCAGGTGACCAGGACATTGTTTTAAGTCTTTGTTTACTTACCTTTTACATACTCAGTGTGTCTGAATTGTTCTGCAGGACACTGTCAATGCCAACTACAATTCTACATCAAGGAATGTAAAAATATTTCACTGGGGCTGTACCTTTAAAAGGACAACCTTGTACCTTATAAACCCCTAAACGGTGCCTTAATGTTCCCTTGAGGTGCCATGAACTTGGGTACAAAAAGGTACACATTTGTTTCTTTAATGGCCCTGCCCCAGTGAAGGTACAAGTTTTTTTTGAGTGTATATGTGCATGATCTCTTACCCTCCACAGGTTCAGGGTCAGTATTCACATATGTCAGATGAGCTGTAATGCCCAGAGAGCATCCGTTGGCACAGGAAGTGATGTGGGATGTCTTCAGCGAAAGTGGTGCCCATGTGGTTCGGTTTTTCAATCCTGGCATTTTCCTCAAGAGAACGTTATCAGCTTAGTTAATTATGCTTCTTAAGTGGATGTCAGCAACAAGATCCCTTAAGAATATTAAACACGATTATTAATACGCTCCATTTAATTAAAATGTTGACTTTGGTAATCATAACAGCGTAGCACTTTATTTTACAGTCCTGTTCCCTATTTACTTATTACAGAAATTACATTAACTTTGTAACAAAAACTGTAAGCTAATAAAAATGACAAAAACAACAAAATTACTACATTTTCTAAATGAAAACAGAAATGTAAAATCGTCTAATCATTTGATAGGATTATCATTTAATCTAATTCGATCAAAAGTCTATTTATTTATTTTAAAAATAACAAAAACGATAAAATAACTCTGTTTACAGCAAAACCACCAGTGTTAGACTATTTTAAATAATGTAGATGTAATGAGTTGTGGTAAATAGAGACTGATTATAAACTTTCTAAACCAAATCTACACAACATATCAGAGGCAGTGACAGCAAATTTACATTGGATTATTTGCTTCAACAACCATGAAACATTTTAAGAGCAGACACAAGCTCTCCTTCACACTACTGGATTTGTCCACCCCACGCGCTGCCTGGCAACCGAACGGCTCTCATCCTGTCACAGTGGGAATGTGCGTGTGAAACATTAACAGACTGGTCAATAGTGCTCCAGCACATGCATACAAACGTAATGCTCGAGTCAACAGCCTGCTGTCTCTGCACAGGTACAGATTCTAATGTTTGGATGGAGTTTGGTGAATAAGGAGACGGAGGATCTGAAATCTTTCAAAACCATTCCCCTGATGACACCTAACCACAACAGATGTCTAATTCAGTCTAATTACTATGGTATTATCATTTTCTGCCCAATGATCAACACTCTAAAAAATGCTGGTTTGTTTCAAACCATGTTTGGGTGAAAGATAGACAAACTCAACGGTTGGTTTAAATTTTCAAATGACATATTTAAACCCAACGGTTGGGTTTGACGATATTTGACCCAAACATGGGTTGAAACAACCCAGCATAAATATTGAGGATGTAGAATCCACATGAAACACTAGTAAATGAGAATGCAGTGGTGTTTGTTCTCCTTGAAAACACCTGCCATCTGGACACTGGTCCACTTACTGGGATTTACTGTGTTGTGATTAAATGTCAAGCGCACACAAATGGAATCATCACAATAAAGTGTTTGCGAGTAAATTGCTCTTATTAACATTGAAGATTCACTTTTGACTTGCCGGCTTTAACGTCTTGCAAACTAAAACTTTAAAAACTTTGCTCACAACAGAAAAACTTTTAAACTGTAATTTACAGTGACTTATAGGTATCAAGCACATGGATTCAATGCTTCCACAATGAAAATTAGACCGAATAGATGTGGTTCACCTATTTTAATCTAGCCTACTGAACATACTGTACATACATACATAAAGTCTGTTGATGCAACAAAATTAGAAAATTGTAATTTAAAAATAGAATAAACAAGGAAAGATGCATAAAAATCACATTAGATTGTGAGTAAATTGCTCTTATTAGAATCTTTGAGTCGTAGCTAAACATAATTACAGCTAAATTGTATTTTGGAAAACTTTGTTGCACATTCTAGTCTTTTTAAATGAAATTAGTGAAATTTGTACAAATGAGGAAAGTGACATAACATTAAATTACACACACACACACACACACACACACACATATATATGTATATATAGAAATTGCTAAAATGAATTTGCAAGTCTTTGATATCATTGATTGAGGGAATAGATCACTGAATCATTCAGAATATGTTAGGCAGCCTATATATCAAATTGCTGAGAATCCTGTCGGTAATAAAACATTTAATATTTTGACGACAAAAGTAAAGTTTACAAAAATGTATTCAAAAACTGTTTAGACATGCACTTCACATTTGAGCTTGTTAATTTCATAACGTATGATTAATAACAAATAATACAAATTACAACGACTGAAATGTTTTGGTATGTTTTGTAAATGATACAATTAAGCACTTTGGGTACACGTCGAGTTTTGACTTACTTGATGAGATGCTCCCAGATTTTTTCCCGGTTTGCTGTGATTCGGACGGTGACGTGTTACAGGTTTCTCTCCGTCTCTCCATCACGCTCTGGGCGGAGGGACTCGAGCGCGAGCACACTTCATTACAGCGTTCACGCACGCGCAGGGAAACAAGGACTAATGCATCTTGAAATGTCTTTATATGATTTACATCTGTTATTTTATACCGAGCTCTGCGTCGTGTGCAGTGAACTGTCTCTGCTTGCAGGGTATTGCCTATATTATGGGCCTCTGACACTCCAAACTTTTGATCTTATCAGTGTATCGGCTGGAAATGAGATCACAAATCACAATTTCATATTTTACGATTAATTAATTTTTTTTTTTTTTACTTGGACAATACCACAGTAAACTAAGGTTTCAGCCAAAAGTCCAAATTCAAAATTACGTCCAAACAGCCTGCACGAGAAATTGAGAAAAAAAAAAAAAATAGAAATGATGTACTCTAAAGTATAATAAAATATTGTATTACATTGTTAAACATAAACATCTAGCTCGGAGTGTCCCCTTACATTAAGTGCAAATAGCCCGTCTTGTTTTTATTTAATTTTTTTAATCTTTATTTATTGCATCTTGAATAGGCATATTTCACTGCATCAGCAAATATGCTGCATGCTGAATTGTTGTGCATAATAAACTTTGATGATTTGACACATTTTATTGATCAGGCTCTAAGTGAAATTGCGTTGCTTATTTGGTTTGAACTTAAAAGATCCACCAGAGGGAGACAAGAGAGCTCGTTAAAAAAAGAGAGAAAAAAGAAATATCAAAAGAAAAGAAAAGAAAAACTTAATGGTCATATTAAAACATTTCCATCCATCATGACTGATTTTGACTCACATTAAGGCATCCAAATCCAAAATATTATATTAATGTTAAATTTAAAATAACCTAATGTTAGTTTGTATGTTCAGCACCATGGATAGTTCTATTGTATTTTGTGACACATTTTGGCGTGCAAGTTTAGAGAAGATGATAATAACTATTATTAATTTTGTCAGCAGTAGCCCAAGACTGATTGACCACTGAAGCTAAGCAGTGCTGAGTCTGGTTAGTACCTGGATGGAAGACCTTCTGAGAAAGCCAGGTTGCGGCTGGAAGAGGTGTTAGTGAGGCCAGCAAGGGGTGCTCACTTTGTGGTCTGTGAGGCCCCTAACGCCCCAGTATAGTGATGCGGACACTATACTGTCAAGAGCACCGACCTTCAGATGAGACGTTAAACCTCATAAAAAGTAGGGGTGTAACTACGGTCTCCTGGCCAAATTCCCTAAATTGGCTATTGCCAATCATGGCCTCCAAATAATCCCCTTCCACAGGCTCTATCACTCTCTCTCCTCTCTCCACCTATAGCTGGTGTGTGGTGAGCGGTGAGCGCACTAGGGCTGTTGTACTGTGTACTGTGGCAGTGGATGCTGAAGTGCCTCCTCTTTAATTAATTCATTTCTATAGTGTGAATGCATTTAAGAAGTTTGTCATTTCAGAAATATCAACAATGCAGTGTAGATAAGCAATTTAATTTAAGGCCAAACATTCAAACAGCACAAAATTGGCAAAATTACACAAGAAGTCTTGTATTTTGTATCATAAGTGACAAAAAAAGTATAGCAATTAAGTGACAAATAAAATCTGATAATGGGGTAAGTACAAGTAACTTGTTTTCCCTTTAAATTAAATGTATTAATCTACCCAAATGGCAGATTTTTTTAAGCATTGAGTCACTTAATTTTGATCGATTTTTCAGAAAACAAGACTAACTTAAGTAGGCTAATTTTTAAATAAACTCATTATATTTACATAAGCCTAACAGCTGACCAAAATATTATAGTGTAGCTACAAGCAGGGGAAAAACACTTAAGGTATTAGACAAATTCATAAGAGAAAACAAAACATATTTTAATGAATCACAAGAAGGTTCTCACCAGATGTGTATCCTTACCCAAATTTGGAAAGAAGATTACTTTGGAGATACAGGCCTCAGTTTTAGATATTTGTGTATATTTGTATGTGCAATTTGGTGTGTGTGTGTTTTTTTTTTTTTTTTTTTACTGTCTATGGTAGGCCTACGAACTGATAAGCAGACTTCCTACCCACACACGAAATTAACGTGACGGTCTCTGTGGAAACTGGTATGACAGCGCTCGTGCATGCTTACAGATGGTCTTGTGAAGTGACGAAAATCTTTTCCCTCAAATATTAATATAAAATATTAAAATATTGCATTCGATCAGGACTAACATTGTAAGAACATTTACTTTAAAGAGTATGTTTTCACAGTTTGGCTTTCTACTGCCATTTTGTTGCTGTTCAGTGTTGATGGCCTGCCCTGATTTATTGACAAATCAGGTGTAAACCAAAATTAATTGGTTGATTTTTTTTTTTATTTTAAATAGGAGGTTCCTGGAGTGTACATGTTACTCTGTCAGGAGGTAAAATCACAAACAGATTATACGAAATCAAATCAAACCCATGTGCCAATATCGTCTTAGTCCGGTAGAAGGCGCTGTTGACATTGCCTAACTAACCTGTGAGTTCCCTCCTCAAAGTCTCGTTGGCGATGGCGGATGGTCCCTTTGGATAATCAGCGTTTTGCCTATGCGACCTATCATGAAGGTAAAGGTAATACTCTGTCTAAAGGTAATATAAAGTTAATACTCTGTCTTCTTATTGGTTGTGTGATATACGCCTATATTCCAATTTGTTTGTGTTGTCACTGTCAGCACGTCACACATTTTCTGTTAATCTTAGAAAACAGGTCAGTGACAATTGTAATTAAATTAGAAATTACAGGGTTGGACAATGAAACTGCAACACTTGTTTTGGTGAACAATTATGGTGTAGGCTGGGCCTACGTTTGCGGCCAATACAGCAACAGTTTGTCTTGACTTTTGGGAGTGACAGATACAAGTCCTTCATAGTGGATCTTGAGTCATTCCTCTTTGAGAACAGTGGACAGGTCCCTATGTGATGTTGGTGGATGATATATGTTTTCTGAATTGCTCCTCCAGTGGTTTAAAAAGTCTGGTGACTCTGCAGGCTATGGGATATGTTGAACTTCACTTTCATGTTTATCAAACCATTCTGTCACAAGTCTTGCTGTGTGTATTGGTGCATTATCATGCTGATACACAATGTTTGAACCATTAGGTGCACATGGTCCTCCAGAATGCTTATCAGTTATCACAGTTATCACTTTAGCAATTTTTCATCTGAACCATGCCCCGCTCCAAACTAAACTGCCAGTATGAAAACGTCTCCGGTTACTTTCGGAACCTCTGTTCCCTGAGAGGCAAGGGAACTCCTCTCCTACTCCACTTCTGCTGAAATCGTATAGGCTAACACCAGCCAAGCTGGCCTATTGATGTAAATATGTAAATACTGAACACATTGCAGTACAAAAGCAGATGCAGTGTCCTGCCGTGAAGCCTAACACTCCACTGACGACAGACCCAATACCAACACCGCCTCCCCAGAAAGCAAGCATCCGATAGGCTGAGGTTAGCCAATAGCGAACCACCAAGCTCTGATGGTGCAAAAATAGACCAATCGCTCACTCACAAAATACTGCCCGAATTTGCATATCTCGAGCAGTATAATCGGAGAAAGTTTGCTCTGTGAAGCACACAGGGCAACAACTGTAAGAGAAGGTCAACGCATAGCGTTGACCGCGATTAAAACCCACACAATCAGCAAACAGCACAACTCATGAGCTAAGCACAGATTCGCCCACATTAAAATGCTATGTAAACACAAATCAGTTCACCGAAAGCACCCGAGACACCACCGAAGGTATGTACAAGTTGTAAAATCTGGCAAACGTGTTCTGAGGTGACCAGCCAGCCGCAAGACATAAATCCTGAATAGACACACCCTTAGTCCAGGCCCACAAAGAGGAAATTGTCCTTGTCGAATGGGCTTTAATGTTAAGGCGAACCTCTGTTTTGAGACCCCCCCGTCCCTTGTATCCATCAAAGCACACAAACAGCTGGTCCGATTGTTGGAAAGCGGCCGAGCGAGAAATATACTCCTGGAGCGCTCTGACCGGACACACAGCACTCTGAGCATCCAAAGAGAAGTTGATGCCTCAGAGGATAGGGCAGGAAGTGAAACAATCTGCACTTTAATCGGGTTATTGAGTGATTTAGGGATATAGCCCGGCCTTGGCCTAAGCGACACATTACAGTTTCCTGGCCCAAAGTGAATACAATCTTCACTCACAGAGAAGGTCTGTAAATCCCCAACCCGCTTTGCTGATGCAAGTGCGAGAAGCAGAGCCGTTTTGACAGAAAGCTCTTTAAGCCAGAGGCTTGAAAGGCGGGTGCGGAAACACCTCCAAAACCAAAGCCAAATCCCACGTTGACACTGAAGGTGGGCGTGCAGGGCATAATCTCCTTGCTCCTTTGAGGAACCCGATCACAAACGCATGTCTACCAATAGACTGCCCGTCAACTCGTCGTGAAGAGATGGACCTCCACTCTGCCAAAACGCCTCTATATTAGCTGCACCGTTCCCGGTGCAGCTAATATATGCCATTCCTCAAGAGCATGTCCGCCCCGTGATTCAGAACGCCGGGGATGTGAGTCGCTCTCACAAAGAGGAAAAAACGGTCTGTCCACAACAGAAGAGATTCTGCCTGTTTGAATAGGGCTTTGGAATGCACACTGCCCTGGCGATTTATATACGAAACCACGGATGTGTTGTTGGTGCGAATCAACACATGGCGGTGCACCAGCTGAGACCGGAAGGCGTCGAGGGCTAGGGAGACTGCCTTTAGCTCTTTATGTGCCACTCTGCCTGCTTCTCTGACCACCGACCCGAAGCGGGCTTGCCCAGGCAGACAGGTCCCCATTCGGTGGTCGATGCGTCTGTTAGGACCTCCACACGCCGTGTCACGATACCCAGAGGGACACCCGATCTCAAAAGCTCTGGGTTCTTCCACGGAGCCAGCATGTGAACACAGCCTCAAGTGACCATAATGTGCTTATGGCCGGAATTCCACACACTTAAAGGGATGTGTGCTTTTAGCCAGTGATGAAGTGGTCT